GGGCCCGCGGCCCCGCCCACCGGGATGCGGCTGGGCGCGAGGGGGCTCCTGGCTGACGCCGGGGCCGCGCCCTCCCCCTCACCTCACGCGCCGCGCGCGCCCGGGCAGCCCTGCGCGCCGGGATGCGGGGTCCTAAAGTCCCCTCTGCCACCTCCGCGCTCCAATCTGGCCATAGGCTGCTCACGTACTCCTTCATCCTGGAACCCAGCTGTAGTCTTGGCTTTCCTGTCTGGGAGCCTTCCATTTTCCTCCCAGACACGGAAGGAACTCTGAGCACAGAACCTTAGTGGGTTCCACTCCCAGACACAATGTAACCTGGGGTGTGTCGACACCACCTCTCTCACTGGGTGCCTATACCTGTTAGTAAATACAGTGTATCCACTGAGCCCTTATAATGTGTCAAGCTCCCTGCCAAGCGCCTTACGGGCATCATCTCATTAAATCCTCACAATAATTGGACATTGTTTTAATCTCCATTTTCAGATGTAAAAACTGATGCTCAGAAATACTGGGAAAAGCACGTGACTTACTGTCAGACTGCATCATTAGCAGAGATGTGTTGCTCTCCCACTACTGTGAGACACTGCTCTGGGCACTGGAGCTGCCGCTCTGCACCTGACAGGCTTCAATCTTAGTCCTGTGTGTGTGTGTGTGGGGGGTGTGTGTGTGTGTGTGTGTATTTGAGAGGTGTTTGCTATAGGGCGTGTGTGCTTACCAGAAAGATAGAGACAGACAAAGCGAGGTGAGGTGAGGCGATGGCTACATCACAATCTCTTCTCCTCCATTCTCCTCTCTGGATCTTGGGCACGCACGCACACACGCCCAGCATGAGTTTAAGCCACCAGGTCTGGGACTCGAAGTGCAATCGACTGCATGGGAGTCCAGCGACATAACCATTACACCAACTGCTGATCCCAGTCGTGGGTATATCTGTATATGTGGGGGTACCTAATCATGTGACGCTCAGAGAATAAGTTTCTGAATCCAAATCTGATAGCAGTATGTTGTGCAACCGACTCTGGTCTCATCGCATTCCTTGGCGCACATTACACAGTGGTCCCAGGCCAGTTTTTGCTGGACTTTATTTACTGAGAGACATAGCTTTTGGAGTATAGGACAGGACTGGCTTCTGGCTTCAAAGAAAAAAGCAAGTTGAGCATGGGGCGCCAGGTGGCATGGTGGTTAAAGTGCTGGACTCCCACATGGCTAACCATGGTTCAAGACCTGGACCTGGTGGCTTGCTTTCTCGGTTCCTCTCTCTCTCTCTCTCTCTCTCCTCCTCTCTCTCTCTACACACACACACACACACTTTGTCCCTCTCTGGTCAAATTAAAATAAATAAATGGATAAATAAATTTAAATAAAATATTTTTAAAAAGCAAAACAAGTTGAGTCAACTAGTAAAATAGATGAATACTCATCAAATGTTTGGAACAGCTCTATGAGCTGGGTTCTTTTATTCATATTATTAAGAAAAATAGGGGCCAGTAGGTGGTGTGGTAGTCAAGGTGCCAGACTCCCACATAGTCAACCATGGTTTGAATCCCGGACCTGGGTGCTTATTTTCTTACTTTTCTTTTCTCTCAATCTGTCTCTCTCTGGTCGAATTAAAAAAATAGTGATAATAAGGACTGCAGAAGGTGTAATGGTTATATTGCTGGACTCCCACATAGTTGACCCTGGTTCAAGTCCCAGACCTAGCAGCTTAAAACTCACACCAGGCATATGTGTATGTGTGCCCAAAATCCCAAGAGGAGAAAGGAGGAGAGAGATTGCAGTGTGAGTGTGGCCACCTGGGAGGGTGATTTCTCACTTTCTCTCTCTGTCTCTCCAGTGAGCTCGTGTGTCCTATAGCAAAAATCTCTCTGAAAAAAAAAATAGTGATAATAAATAATTCATTAAAAAAATTACTTTTTAAAATTTCTTTGAAGTTGATATAGAGAGACAGAGAGAAGGAAAGTGAGAAACCAAGCTGCCAGGTCTGGGACTCAAACTGCGGTCAGCCATGTGTCCAGCCACCTTAACCACCAAAACACCTGCCAGCCCCTACAAATGATTCTTTTAAAAAAAGAAATGTAATAATATATTACAGTTGCAGAAGAGATTCGGAGAGGATAAGTACTTTGTTAGTAAGTGACAAAAGAAAGATTGAGTTGTAGAATTCATATTCTGAACTGTTACTTTATACTGAGCAGCAAGAAAATAAGCTAAGTCCTAAGAAGGAATTCTTCCAAGGTCACAAAGCAAATGGTGGCAGAGGCAAGACAAGGGGCCAGATGTCCTAGCTGAGCCACCAGCCCGCCAGCAGGCAGATTGGCCGTCTACCCACCCCCATCCCAGTCTACTTCAATAAAACCTTCACATGGCTCCACAGAGAAAGTGTTCACGTCTCAGCTCTGCCCTTTGCCATCGGGACACATGCTAGCCTCTGGGTGTGTTGGAGAGGGTGCAGGTAGTTTGTGAACACGGGGGACCTAGGATGCGCGCTCAATGCCACATGCTGTCTCCTTAGCCAGCTGGCATGGTTTCTGCATCTGCCCTGAAAATATAAATTGGAAGATGGAAAATTCCTTAGAGGCGAAGAAGCAGGGATGGCCAAGGGCTCCTCTTGTCGTTCATCTAGTCAGTGGGTTAACAAGGGCTTATTGAGTGCTGCCAAGGTCCAGCCCACATGCCCTGGGGAAGAGAGAGACAATGCGTGCCCTGAAGGAGCAGGTGGAATTAGGGAGTCACACTCGCAGCAATGAGTTGCGGTTCTGACGAGTGCTGAAGCGGGACAGCAGGTTGTGACAGTGAGTAACAGGGCACCTGGCCCAGTGGACCTGGTGGGGTGTAGGTGAAACAAGTTAAAGGCTGTTAGAGCGGACGGATCCTGTGTCCTCGACAGGCACAGTAGGGGCAAAGACCCAGCACGAGAAAGGAGTTTGGTTCTTCCAGTAACAGAGAGAGAAGGTCAGTGTGACTGTGGGGAGAGAGGTGGGGAAGGAAGTCCCCAAGGGTGTCCCTGGCTGGAAAGCTCCAGGACTTCTAGGCGTCCTGGGATAGGGGCATGGAGACCTTCTCGAAGGTCACCACAAAATATAGCAGCTCCCTATTGTCTGCAGAAAGGATAAAAGAATCCTTTCCTGAGGACATGTACCTGCACCGTTCACTGAGGATGGCACCAATCAGAAGGGATGTGCCTTGTTACAGTGGAAGAGGGGAAGCCGCTGTGATCACCAGGCGGCCTGGCCTTTGGAGTGGCAGGTGGAATCTCTCTGGGTGTAGACTCTAAGGCGTGGCTCGAGTCCTCTTGACCTCTGTGAGCCTTGGTTTCTCCACCTGTGAAACTTCCAGGCCTCCAGCCAGCCAGGGTGTGGTGTTAAAGTAGCTGGATCCTACCTGGCCAACTGTGTGGCTAGAGTGCTGGACCCGGCTTGAAAAACACACTGAGCGAGTGGGCATCAGGGCCCAAAACCCCGAGAGGAGAATGGACAAGAGAAGGGGTTGTACGGGGCCACTCCCCCAGGGGTGATTTTAAACTTTCCCTCGCCCTATACAAAACCAAACCAAACCCATCGGGCCTCTCTCTGAGGGTGCTCTGGAGCCAGCAAGATGACCTACAAAGGAGGAAACCCTCCCTCAGCTATCCCATCACGCAATTCCACCCTTCCCCCAGTCTTCCTTTGCATTTGTGAAGCTTGCTACAGGCCAGGCACCGGAAACAGCTCTTGGAAATTTTCACTGGCTTCTCACTACAGCCCTACAAGCTCGGAGCTAGTGTTGTCCCCGTTTTCCTGGGGCGCTGGGAGGTCAGGCCACTTGCCCAAGGTCATGCAGCTCGCCCTCCCCTCCCCCCAAAGGATTCCCAGTCTCACTTCCTGACGCCTGGGTGACAACGTCCCTCCCTCAGCGTGCAGCCCCA